AAAAGAAAACAAACTCGAAACTCAAAGTGCGAAGACTGGGGAAAAATTAGCGGTGTTAAGTTAAAAAATGTTTTGAACTTGCATAAGTTGTTGTTATACTACGTTTACCTTCGGTAGTGATAGCACCCTGTTAAAACGTTGAAATTAATAAAAAGAGCCTCTCAGGGGCACCCAACGAGGATATATTTCAAAACCACTTAACATAGCATTGTTGAACGTATTTTAGTATTCAAACGGTAGATATAGGCATATTTTTATCCCCTAAAACTTTTTCATCTGTTCGGATTTCCTAGCTGAAAGTCTAGTGATCCGAAAATTATAGGGATAAAAACTTACCTTCTCGAAAATTTCAGCCAGGAAAAGGTTCCCGAAAATTCTAGGTGGCCTTTTTTAGGGCCAAATCCGTTAAAAATAGGTAATTATACCAGCTTATACCATTTTGTATATGTTCGAAAATCCTAGGAGAGGCAGGCAAGCAAGAAATTTTACAACAATTGCTCCGAAAATTCTAGATCTCAAATCGTCTTCCGAACAGATATTTTCCCGAAAATTGCCGTTGGGTGCCCCTGGCCTCTGTATGACGAGCATTTTAGTGGGAAAACTGGAGCATTAAGGTGGAGCATTTTAGTGGGGAAACAAAAGCATAATGTACATAAGACCTGAAGGGTACGAGATAAGGAGCATTGTTACTTTAAGGATTGGAGCTGTCTTTTATTCATTTCAGTACACACGCAAAGATTGCCGGAGTTTCAATTAGCCCTTAATGCATGGCTATGCAGATTTCTGTACTTAAGTATAATTTCGTCACTTAAAAAGCTTACATGGCAAGCCGAGTCCAGGAAACACTAACGTCAGTTTTATCTGATTATTTTCAGGTTATGTACTCTGTTGCCAAGCTTTCGTGTTTAGCTTGGTGAATCCAAGTGGCCTGGGACCGACCAAACTGTCGCTCATCACTGGGGAGGAAGGGAATGGCATCTATTGTGCTAGCAACTATGGACCCGTGTTTGGTGGTGGGTTTGACCTATATATATCAAATAATGCAAACACAAGTTCTAGTGGCGGCCTTCTCGGCTACACCTATCAGCTCCCACCAGGACAACAGAGCACGTTCTTCACAGGTGCCCATCACAACTTCCCTGTTACAGATTACGAGGTGTTTGGACTCCAACAGTGACAAAACACCAGCAGAAAAGGATCTTGCGGGTAAAATAGTTGAGACCCAGTCAGTCATCGATAGGATGACAAATTCAGAATTCAAAGGGCGTCATTGATAATGCCTCCTTTTTTAAGTGCGGGCACATTCTCTGCATCATTGCACATTCCTCGCGCTGGAGGACTAGAATATGAATTGTAGATTAAACATCAGACTGACGCGGATCAAAAAACACTACAATCCTCTTTAGTGTACTGGTCTAGCTTCGTATCCAGGTGGCTTTTGGTGCGAGTTGCGCGTGCTGTGCATCACCTTTTCGACGATTTGAGTACGAGCTTGGGATTATGAGTACGAAACCCAAACGATTTGGTTATTTTGCACTCGTTTTATCCCAAGATCGCTTATTCTTTTTCAGCAGATGAGGAAATCTAAGGGGTAACTTATTGCGATAAATGTTTATCTAAAGCACGCGAGCTGAGTTTGAAAACCCGTACTGACTAGCCTATTACCCAATGTGAAACTCGTAGTCTACTCTACAAGGTCCCTTGTTTGTATAATAGACATTAAGGATCATTAAGCTTCAAGTTTACGTCAAACGCGAATTTTTTACCACGTGACCAAGTTTCTCCTTTACTTGTCGTTTACTGCTCATTATTTCTTCGCATAAATTAGTAGTTTCACGCAATTTTTTATCCATAGGAATTGTTTTGAGCTGTTTATCTGTTCATTTTCTATTTTGAGATATTCTCAACTTAAATCTGACGTTTTCCGTTTGCCGTATACGTGAAGCTTAAACGGCTCTAATACGTACATTTGCACGTGAACGCCAGTAAAGGTTTTTTCTTAGTTCCTGTGTGCCTACTCAAATTTGTTTAAGCTAAAAATTTCTTTTATTCCAGAGTAAACTGTGTTCAAGTGTATCTGTCTACGCGAACTTCAATTCCACCATTTCATTAAACCTGCACATTAGAGAGTATTATGGTACTTTTTGGGAAGGTCTAGTATTTGCTCCGTGAAAGCTGTTAGCTATTGCTGAGATCTATTCTTTCGCTGTAGACATCAACCACAAACAAAGAGCTGATATTAATAGGGGAACCATCGTCTAAAATAAGTCAAATGAAAGTTAACATGTGAACAAAATCTGAAAAGCAATATGCTAGAAAGTTTGCCAAGATTTTTATAAACACAAGCGTTCATTACGAAATAATCTTGCACAAATACGTTAACTGGAGGAAAGCAACAAAGAATTAATGGAAAAGTGCCATTTATTTATAAATAGTACAGAAGACAAAATATAAATACGCTTAAATTCACACCTCTTCAGGGGCGGATCCAGGATTTTTTTTAGGAGGGGGTGTACTCGTTTCTTGCTCTACTTCAACACCAATAAACCACATAGTTTTTTTTTTGGCAGAATACCAGTTGTATTAGAAAACCGCGGGTCATCTCGGGGGGGGGGGTGCGCACCCCCTGAACCCTCCCCCTAGATCCGCCCCTGCTCTTAGAATTTGAACATTTGTATCCTGTAAGTTGTCGTGCATTGATAGAAACATGACAAGAGCACAAAAAACGAGAAGTGAAAGTCCAAAGTGAAAGTCAAACGTACTGTGAAACTTATTAGTAGCCTGGGCGCTAGGATTCTGACAGGTCTTTTTTATCTTCAATTCCTGATTTTTTTTAAATACGTTTGTTTACTGTGCATAACCGTTTTGGCGGCCCCGGGTTTTAACGCGCATTTACCATTCACTCGACTAATAGCGTTGTACAGTTTCTTCTACTTTTTGGAAATCCTATTCAAGCAGTAGCCTGCGTTGCAGCCGGCCCACGCACTCGTCAAAACCATTTCTATACAGAAGGTTTAGAGCGTCCGCGACGCTGGCAAATTAAGCAGCCACTCTCCATTAATTTGGAGGCTAAGCTACCGATGATTCCGGCAGACATAACTGTCAGAACCGTCGAAAAAAGAACTTCTGTTAAGTGGGCGACATTTTTAAACAGCCACTTGTCCCTTCCCCTGGTGCGGCCGTTTCGCTGTAAATTATTAAAGTGAACATAAAGTCATAATCCGTAAGCTGAAGTATTGTACCGTTGTATCCTTTTGTTAATTAATGTCAATAAAAACAATTAAAAAATAGTGTGGCCGCTTGTATTGTAATTTTTAGACGCGAGCTTCAATTTTCGTCTTGAACTGGGCATTAAAGCAGCCATTACATACTGAGTTCCTGTTTTGCTCATTATCCAAGAGAACCCTTTCAGTAACCAATGTTGATTATTAGTGTTCACCAAATCATTGGATAGCAATTTTCGCGCGTTCTGATTGGCTCCCGTAACTCGGAATATCCTTGGATATTCACTGTTTTGGGGCGGGATTCAAAATGGCTTCTCGTTTCGCGACAATTTCGAAAGATAAAGTTTTAGCGGTAGCTGAAGTGGCTGCGCCAAAAAATACGAAGAAAGAGACAAAATTTGGCTTGTCGCCCTTTACTGGTCGGTAGAAAAGAATTTTCTCGCTGAATTTGCAACAAAATCGTAAGAAAAAATGATCTCCGAAACACTGTTAGTTGAAACGTACGTAAACAAACTCTAACAAAGTGACGTCTTTTATTTACAAAAAGTTCCTTTTTGATTTTTATCCAACTGATTTGGTAAATACGAAAACAACTATCCCCCTCAGGGTCGGTTCAACCATATTATAGGACTATTATGGCTCTTGGCTAGATATATACCTTGACGCTTTGCGTCTCGATATATATTTCCAGCACTATTCACCTCCCCTTTGGGGGATAGTTGTATATTAAAAGGCTGGTAAGCTTAAATAGTAGGATCCTTTGGTCTCGTTTCTTTGTTGGGTAAATAAATCGGTTCTAACTCCTGCGGTTTGTTTTTGCAGTACTCAGATGCCGGACAACCGACAGCTAAAATGTGATTTTTCTTGATCCAAAATCTCCAAGTGCTTTTATCGCGTCCAAATCCCACATGCGAAAGCATCGCGCCATCCCTTCTGTGTCCAGTACAAAATCCTTGAGGTGTGAGCACGGGTTCTTGGCATGATTCAGCAATTTGGCTTCTTTCAAAGACAACGACAAGGACGTAAATTATCGTCTCTTTAACAAAATACCCCATTTCCCCGGATATTAAACCTTGTTCGATTAACTCCTTCGCTCCTTTCACTGAGGTTCAGCCACAGGGATCCCTTTGGTTCATCAGTGACGAGAAATCTTTCAGTGGGTTGTTAACAGCAGACAACACTTTACCTCGTAGTCTACCATCAAACATTTCCAACCCATCAAGAAATAGAAAGGACTGTTTTGCAGCCCGGGCGCGGAGCCGGCTCCCCGTATAGGCCAGGGAGTGACCCCCGCCGCTTCCGGGTTTGCAGTCAGCCTCGGCAGTTCTTTTACCACTGGGTGCTAATCGGCGATATCAGTATTTTAAAAGATTACATGTAAGATCTATGCAGTTTTCTCTATAACCCGGGCTATAATCACCTAAGTATTAAATGTTATGTTTCTTGATGTTATCAGTTGCAGTTCATGGTGTTAGTAATGGTAACAGGACTGAGTGGAGTCCAATTCAGTTTGTAATCATACGAGTGATTAACAAAATCGGACGACCGCGTAGCGGGAGTCCGATTTGTTTAATCACGAGTATGATTACAGACCGAATTGGACGACACGATGTTCTGTTACCAATTAATCATAACTTTAACAAAATTTGTGATATAATAAACTATAATTTTAAATCAACACACAAGAAATTCGAAACTTTGTTTCGCTAGCAATGAAAAAAGCCATTTAAGAGCGCGCGTGATGGCGCGTACTGTCCAATTACTCTGATTACTTAGGCATGACGCGTACTGTCCTATTAAACTGTCCAATTAAGGCTGAAATCAGGGCAGCTGATAGCCAATCAGATTTGACAATTTTGTCATAGTTATGATTACTAAAAATATATTAGACTTTGTGTATTAAATAATATTTTCGTTTAATCCAGTTCAAAGTGTAATTCCAAATTTATGTCATTAAAGAATGCGGGTAAGTGAAGATTATTAGTGAAACTTAAGTTAATATTGTGCATTTTGCACGATCCATAGTTCTAGGGTATCATTCCATTCCTAAAATTAATTGGGGATCATTTCGGGGTCGACGTGAAGAGAAATGGGGATCATTTCGGGGTCGGTATCATTTCGGGGTCAATTTGGGGATCATTTCGGGGTTGGGGATCATTTCGGGTTCGGGATCATCTCGGGGGCTGTACAGGTCATGCCCATCTATATTAAGCAGTCGTGATCACCTTTTGCGAAGTACAGGAAACTTATTTTTTATTGTCGCCTCTGCTATTCAACGGTCACTTGGTCAAGATGTACCATACTAATGCAATAAATATACTGTGCATGGCGTTTAGTGGTCTTTCGCGGGCTTCCTTTCGTTTGGCAAACGAAGAGTTAGAAACACGACTTGTAGGTCAATTTGTCGTGTAATGGATGTTTCGTCGTTTTGTCACCATCGGGTTCCTTTTGTTGATAAACTCTCAGGTTTGTTAGACCTGTATTAACGGTCGACCTGTGTTAAGCGGTCAGTTTGCCATTCCCCGAAGGGTGATCGTTTTATACGACCAATACAGGTTTATTCCAAATGTTCACACCCCTAGAAGTGTAGAAAGGAAGAACGGATCTTGTCAGTCTGTCTTGTGGAGAGGACTAGAAGTTTTTTAGACTTGAGATGGTGCACCATCAATGAGAATTTAAAAACTTCGAGTTAAAGAGCTTGTTTTATATTTATATTATTTTAAATGACATGGCTTTATTACCATCGGAAAGCCTAATGGGGTCCGATAACACGAAAAATGTTCTTCTCGCTATTGCCGCTATAGCTAAAGATTGATAAGCAGGAGTAAGCAACCTGCATGTAATGATGAAATGTCAAAAAGACTCGGCTGCTCGCAGACTTTTTGCTGCAGTGGTGGTTCTTATTTCCTTATTCTTTAGTCTTTTCAGTCAACCCCGGCTCCCTAAAAGGACAACTTTATACAAGACGGACACCTATATATGCCACCATTTGTTCCTACTTTCTTTACTCCTTTTTTAGCTGACTCTCTTTAAGACGGACATCTCCCTAACTCAATACGGACACATCCATACTATGCTTAATAGCGTAGAAGCTAGACTGCGAGCAGTCTCTTATTTTTCTTTACTCACAGTAGGTCGAGAACACGCGTGAGTGGCGAGCGGCGAAGCCGCGAGGAACGAGTGCGAGAGCCCGAGCGAAGAAATCTCTCATCCTTTTTACCATTAATTTGCATAATTTTACGTTTTCACTGGCTGCGCATGGCTCTGGGGAAAAAAGGGCGATCACTCGCGGTCTACGTGGTAAGCGCAAAGAGATGTGAGCAAAAAGAAATAACGAGGGGGTAGGGAAAGGTGTTTTTCTCGCCCTCTTCCTTGGCGCCGCGCTCCACTATCCGAACGCCTGGAACAGGCTTTCTACGTAGTAGTAAAAAACATGTATTATATATGCCTCCATCTGTAAACGATTTAGTGCTTGAGAAGCCTTCTTGAGGAGGTCTCCTATTTCCTTTTCCTTTTGCAACAAAGAAAAAATGAGACGTCTTCACGCAGGCTAGTGCGTGAGTGTACATGAGTACCTAATTCCTCAAGGTCTACTTTATTTCAGGTATTTTGAAAACGGACCGCTGGAGCCAGGGTACTTTCAGAGAGCCCGTTCACAGGCTACTTTCAGGGTAATTCCTAATCAGACATTCTCTATCTCCATTTCTAGTTCAAGCCGAGCTTGTTCTTGTTATTGCTCTACCACGAAGTCTTTCTCATAAATAAATTATATGCATCTCTTCTCAAATCTTTAAACTTCCGAGTGCTTCAAGTTTGAAGACGCAGTTGACTTGAGACTTGACCTTTGCACTCCATTTTTTTCTTTCCTACATTGTGCTAGCCTGCGTATAGCTGGTGGTATTGTGTAATAGTCGAGTGAGATCAGGGGCACCCAACGAGAATATAGTTCAAAACCACTTAAACATAGCATTGTTAAACGTATTTTAGTATTTAAAGGGTAGATGTAGGCATATTTTTATCCCCTAAAAATTTTTCATCTGTTCGGATTTCCTAGCTGAAAGTCTAGTGATCCGAAAATTATAGGGATCAAAACTTACCTTTTCGAAAATTCGAGTCAGAAAAAAGGCTGCCGAAAATTCTAGGTGATCTTTCTAGGGTAAAAATAGGTTAAAAATAGGCAGTTATACCATTTTTTAGATGTTCGAAAATCCTAGGAGAGGCAGGCAAGCAAGAACTTTTACAACAAATGTTCCGAAAATTCTAGATCTCAAATCGTCTTCCGAACAGATATTTTCCGAAAATTGTCGTTGGGTGCCCCTGTGAGATTTGGCGGCGATGCAGTCACGAGCGGCGTAAGCCGCGAGAAAAAGAAAGTAGAACAAACGCCTCGTCTCCACTCCCTTTTTTGCATCATGGCTCCGCTGTGAAAACTTTAATCGCGCCGAGACAATACGGACAGCTACGCAGGCTAACATTGTGCATCCACACCTTTTTTCGGCCTACCGGTCTCGGTTCCACTCGATCAAGCTCGCTTTCTGGCAGATTCTTCTTGGTGTATTAAATTCTCATAACAGTCGTCGCAGGAGTACCCGACGGAGCCGCTCGACAAAATACCCGCTCGTCAGGCAGAATTTGAGCTAGCTGAAAAAAAAAACATTGGCTAGTTAGCTGGCTGGGAAATCTGAATGAGCGCCTTGCTAGCTGAAAATATGAAAAATTTATGCCGGTTCTGGCTGGATAAAAAGGTATATTTTTCTCCTGGCAATCGCACTGTAATTTTTTATATGGATATTAGAGCGGGCGAAGCAAGTAAGTGCGCGTGGAAATCACCCCACGCGAGCTGTGGAAATGACACCTTTTGCCTGTGAAAACGGAAATTTGTTTGGGTGTGTAAGCAAAACGTCCTGCTGTGAATACCTTGTAAAAGATACACGTAGTGAGAAAATGACACAGTTGAGTCAAGCACCGCTCACCGCTTTGTTTGTAGTCGTTTCGCTGTCGATCCTTTATAGAAAACACTTTTGTGTTTTCGTGTTTTAATATGCCTGTCTACATATCAGCTACTGGCCTACGTTCTACTTTAAACCTGGTGTGAACGCGGCCAAAAGGTAAGCAAAATGGTTGTGTTTCTTTGTCAGGTTGCCGTGCATGTGTATCGCATTAAGAACATTCGCTAAGGCACATAAATGCCATCAAATATTGAGACGATTGAATACAAAAACTCTCTCCAATAAATAATACACTCTGGCCTCTTAGCGGAGTGAACTCAGAACTGATTTCATTCGGTATGCTCGTTTGCAATGTTGTCCAGGTTTGCGCGCTCAGGAATATTTCCGTTGGAACCAATTTCTCTTTTGTTATGTGCTCACCGGGACGGGAAACTTCCTCGATCTATGGTCATTTGGAAGGCGTTTAGCAACTGCACAGGTATCTGTTAGGATCAGAAAAGGTAGGAAGATTTTACATTTGTACTACCCGTATATTGATGTATTTCGCGTCCGTTATAGTAACTGTTGTTTTTAAAAAAAGGCAACATCAAGTGTGCCGTTGCATTTCAATGCTAACGTCTGTGTAGTAAATTGTAGTATAGCGGGGTAAATCCCGAACGGCTATCATTCTTTGACTTTCATACCAGTATCTGTTTTGACGCTGACGCATTTCTTGCTCTTAAAGCTTTTTATCGTATAAATTGTAAGAGCTCTGTTAGCAAATTTATTCATATCTTCGAACACAGTGACTCAGATTACATATTTTTGGTGATGTTTCCCGGCTGTAGGACCTCAATTTTGACAGCGGGCGTTACCGGCCATGGTTACGTTTGAGAGGCTCTTTGGCCAATGTAGAAAAAAAGAATAAAAAATAGTTTACAATTTTCTTGCCAAAAAATGAAAGAAAATTACAAATGTGAACAGTATTTACTTATTTTCCTAAAATTGCTGCAAGCAGGGTTTAAACTGGACTATTGAATAAACAAATTAATAGACAACTAGGTTGTTCTTTTTGCAACAATTTGTCGTGAAGAACAGGATATTTTTCTTTGGAGTTTTTATTTTCTTCTGGTTATCATGAAGTTATTGCTTTCTACAAAATAATCGCCCTCACAACTCAACCGTAGCCTGCGCAAAAGGCGTCATTAAGGCGCTTAGGGTTGTTTAGAGGCGCGAGCGCGAAGCGCGAGATACGCAGTAGGACGCAGTTACGTCACGTTTGCCGTCGTCAACTCGATTTTTAAACGTACCGAAGAAGGTTTCACCTAAGCTTATCTTATTGCCAAAAGCTACAAGAATTTTTCTGTAGCTGTATTAAAACTGAAGTACTGTTGCTGTTCGCAAATTTACTATGACGGTCGCTTCAAGCAAACTGATAAAGGTATTGCTGCATTTATTTTACTTTGGTGGGTCTCTCTGTACCCAAAGCAAAATAAGCTTGCCTTCCTTGGTGTGATCTTACTTACATTTGTTTCAACTGCGCTTCGATTCTATAACTTATAGATGTCACACGACCATCGCATGCACGACATAAGGTTATATGCCTTTATAGGTGATTGTCTGACTGCAAAACAAAACATTCCTGACTTACATACGACTATTGGCTTTTGCTGCGAAACTTTGCACCAGTTCTGGTGTGAAACTTTTACGGTGATTGCCTGACTGACTGCGTACGACTACTGGCTTTTGCTGCGAAACTTTGCACCAGTTCTGGTGTGAAACTTTTACGGTGATTGCCTGACTGACTGCGTACGACTAATGGCTTTGCTGCGAAACTTTGCACCAGTTCTGGTGTGAACCTTTTACGGTGATTGCCTGACTGACCGCGTACGACTACTGGCTTTTGCTGCGAAACTTTGCACCAGTTCTGGTGTGAAACTTTTACGGTGATTGCCTGACTGACCACCTAAGACTACTGGCTTTTGCTGCGAAACTTTGCACCAGTTCTGTTGTGAACCTTTTACGGTGATTGCCTGACTGAACACGTACGACTACTGGCTTTTGCTGCGAAACTTTGCACCAGTTCTGGTGTGAAACTTTTACGGTGATTGCCTGACTGACCACCTACGACTACTGGCTTTTGCTGCGAAACTTTGCACCAGTTCTGGTGTGAACCTTTTACGGTGATTGCCTGACTGACCACCTACGACTACTGGCTTTTACTGCGAAACTTTGCACCAGTTCTGGTGTAAAACTTTTACGGTGATTGCCTGACTGACCACCTACGACTACTGGCTTTTGCTGCGAAACTTTGCACCAGTTCTGGTGTGAAACTTTTACGGTGATTGCCTGACTGACCACCTACGACTACTGGCTTTTGCTGCGAAACTTTGCACCAGTTCTGGTGTGAAACTTTTACGGTGATTGCCTGACTGACTACCTACGACTACTGGCTTTTGCTGCGAAACTTTTGTGGTGATTGTCTGACGACATACCATTATGGCTTCTTGACCACAGAAAGAAATGAGTGAGTAAGATCAAACTCAGGATGACAAGCTCTTACTAGTGCGGAGAAAAATACTACAAGAACACGTTATCAGTCTGGCTTTAAAAAGTAAACTGTTGCCATAGCGTATTTGAAAACATGGACAGTATTGTTTTTTTTTACCGCAACAGAAAGGTCCTTGTTTGTAGTCAGGCGTTTACGTAAATGACGAAAGAGGAAACCATCCTCCCCACGTTGAAACTCGAGTTAAAGACCGCAAACGTTACCTTACTTTGTGGGTTCGTGGTTTTCAGCCGTAGTGGTTAGAAGTTTCCAACGGAAAGCCTGTTTACTCGAAACTTTCTATTAGTTCTGGTGTAGACTTTTTGCGGAGTAACAGTACGCACGGCATACAATGCTGGCGATAAGCATGTGTCTACACTGAATTTGGGGTGATTTTGCAGAGGAGACCACATGTGGATCGAGCTTACTCGTTATGTTGTTTATTCTTAAACTTTATTTCACCTCAGTCGATTATCGTTGGAAAAAGTTGGCCTTAAGGCTTTGCGATGATCACTTTTTTTACGTGTTATTGTGTTATGGACAAAGTTCGGGATCTTCCTTTTTATCGTTTACCTGGCAAAAACTCAAGACTACTCCTCAAGTCCACATTCCAAAACTGTAAGTACCGCTGAATGTCTTTAGTTGTTATGTTATTGTTATATAATTCTTAGGGATAGGGAATAATATATACTAAACAAATACACTGATCTTTTCCCTATATCTCAAAAAAAAAAAAACCCGACAACTAGATAAAAGGGTGAAACAGGTTAAACACGCTTTTCTTTTATATTATGTAAATTTGACGTAAAACAGATCTTGCCTACTGACTTACACGTTTTTCTTGGCAATGTGTTAGATGAAACTTTGCTGGCTGGCTCATAACTTACTTCTGCTACCGCTGGCTGGCAAACACCGAATTCCGTTTCACTCTGGCTGGGATTGCGTAATTTTTGTTTTTTTAACCTTGCTGGCTGGCAAAAAACCGTCAAACATGATTGCTGGCTGGGATTTTTATTTTCTGAAAGTCTTGCTGGCTAGCAGTGAAGAGCGGGTATTTTTTTCCCAGGAAAGTTAAATATTAACATGGGTTGACGTAAAAGCACTTTGCTAGCGTTTACGACATCGTATAATCAATTTTGCGAAAAATGTTCGTTGGGTACTCCTGTCGTCGTAATTGAAAAATTCATCGACTCTATGATCCGCAAAGCAAGCATTTGCATTCTTTATCAAATTGCTCATTCGACCGAGGAAGCAAGGCGCTAGGGAATTGTGCGTGTAAGTCTATCGTTCGCCACGGGCGTGACCTTCACTCAAGATTTTTCTCTTGATCTGCTAGTCGAATGATGTGATCGCCACTGAGTCCTGTTAGAGAGACACCAGGCTCCGTGTACTAACAAGAACAACTCATGCTTATTTCGCGCGTCGATATTTATCACCTTTCTTTACTTACACAACAACTGATTACATCACGATCACTTGGCAACAGGATTCGGAATAAATGATCGCCCCTAGACTTGTTCAAACTTTGAATGTAAAGATACTTACACTAGCTTGAAAATTCCTTGTGGTAGATACACTAAGTTCGCTCAAAGTTCTTCCGACTTCTCTTCTACAAGCACTCTGACTTATATTCAACTGCTTTGTGAAATGCCTATTTAAATTTCGCGCTATTGCCTTCATTAATAATTAAGGCTAAGACGCGGTTGCCATATGAGCGATGCCACATTCATTTCTGCAAGAAGCTTATGAGATCTTTTAAACTAGATTACTGACTGAAGAATCCATCCGCACATATGTCCAAAAAACTTAGTCAGGTTCACTTTTCTTCCACCGTTAAACTCGATGTTGGTGGTCAGCACTTTACCACAACAGTGCAAACTCTAACAAAGGATCCCAACTCGATGCTGGCTGCTATGTTTTCCGGCAAGTTTGAGATGAAGCCATCTGAAGACGGTTCGTTCTTTATCGATCGAGATGGAACTCACTTCCGCTTCATCTTGAACTTTCTCCGCACAGGAAAACTAACTTTGCCTGAAGGAGCTACATTTACCAAGGAACTGGAGGAAGAAGCTGAATTTTACCAGATTCAAGGACTCGTCGACGCATTAAAACCTGCTAATTCAGCAGTTGAAGCACGTACTCTTGGCGAGCCATTCGCAGAGTCGATAATTTTGACGAATGTAGAGGAACAGAGAGTTTTGAGGAGCTGGTTGCCTGAGGCCATGGCAGGCGGATGGCGTTTGCTATTCCGAGCATCACGAGATAGCTATGCCGCTTCAGTATTTCATTCAAAGTGCGACAACAAAGGGCATACAGTCACTGTTGTGAAGAGCGGAGGAAACATATTCGGAGGCTTTACCGAAGAGCCGTGGACAAATCAATCAGGTATGTTCTTCATTAGATTTGATGTACCTATAGCTAGGCACCAATTACGAGTAGGTTTTACAAAGGATTTCTGTATACAGTCAAATCTAGCCTTGCGGACACAACAGGCGCTATAACGAACCCTACGATAATACTGACTGTAGCTAACTCCCAGGCAATAATAAATTACTGACATTTAACTGACTTCCGCTATTACGGACTCTCGCAAAAGACTAACAATAACTTGAGGTCTCTACAGTGTCCTCTATAAGGGGAGTGGACTCTACTCTTAAATGATGATATTATTATTCATTGGCCTAAGACTTGATTCAAAACGTCCAGCGACACAGTCCGGCTTGTGGTACGAAAAAGTCCTTATCACTACAGCATGTACTACTAGTAGGCTCCAGAAGATAGTAGGGATGTCACGAAGAAAGCCAAGGCGTAAGTACGACACACAGTTTCCATGATTTCTCTGCATATTGAAATTATATATTCTTGGGGAAACAGACTAGGCTATCGGCTATTCAGTAGTAAAATCCAACTGGTGGTCTATTATTAATTAATGCTGCGTTCTGATTGATTGAGCTACTACTAGGCTATATGTCAGTATAGCCTACTAGTAGCGCAAAGCGCTGGCTTTTTGGCGGCAAAAGAGGATTAAAGTCTAGCTTTAACTAGGTAACGTTGTTTTGTCTCGACATTTTTGACCAACTAGTTGGATTTTACTAAAACAATTATTCTTCTCGCCCTCATGGCCTCTGAGTCAATAGCCCATTCGGCCTTCGGCCTCATGGGCTATTGACTCAGAGCCCATTCGGGCTCGAGGAATAATTGTTAATCATCACAAGGGTGAAAATAAAACAACCGGGTTTTCTGTTGTTTTTCTTTCAGGTAAGGATCTGACTAAAGGGAATCTTGTACTTGAATTTAAAGACTGGTGTACCAAACTTTAGGTTCATGCATGCATCTCAGTAGTCAACAGTAAGAACAGATTTGTCTAGCGCAGGAGACGGATTTTGTCCACAAAGTAAAACTCACCGTGCATGTAAAGAGGACAGAAGCTTTCTCCCGTTCAGACTGAATATAACCCTTAGCTGTCCCTTTTGTCTGTTATAGGCTCGATTAGCAGCCGCTGTTTTGAAAATGAGCCCCCACTCATCCTTTCGAAAGAGCTCTTTTCGGGAAGCATTGAAGACTGAACTCGAGAGACGGCGGAAATCAAGCCTAGATTACCCTGGGTACCAGAGGTTGTTTTCGCGCTTGCAGCGGGTGCGGCGAGTGCGGTCAGATGCGTCGGAGTAGGCTGCGGAAATGAAACCCGGGGTCTCTGGCGCCCAAGGTAGTTGAGGATCATACTGCAGCACACATCCCCAGACCATCTAATGAGTGAGTCTAGGAAATACTAACCTCAGTTTTATCTGATCATTGTAAATTGCAGGGTTTGTGACATGCAGCCACGCCTTCTTGTTTAGCTTGGTGAACCCGAGAGGACTGAGTACAAGCAAAATGTCACTCATCACTGGGAGGGAACAGTGTGGTATTTACTGTAGAAGCGACTGTGGACCAGTGTGTTTGGCGGTGGGCACGACCTATATATATCAAATAATGCAAATACAAACATGACCAGTCGTCGTAGACTCGGCAGCACCTATCAGTACCCACCTGGACAGCACGGAACGTTCTTGACTGATGATGAGTACTTCTTTGTTACAGATTACGAGATATTTGGCCTCTGATAGCAGTGATGACAAACCAACAAATTAGATGGTACGTATAATAGTAAAGATGCAGTCATCGATAGGATGGCAAATTCAGAATCCAACAAGTTGATGCAAAATTTTTTTTGTTCTTTACCCCGGAATGAACGTTTTAGCTTTTATAAGATAAGATGATTTTTTAACTCACTCTAATTATTATACATTTTAATTTTGACAACATGACTTAATTCATACAGTGCACATCAAGTTTAGGGAAAGGTAAGGAAGAGAAAGCAGAAAATTGATTGTCGATGCGTTTTGTTGCGCCAATCAAAGTATTTTTATAAACCTTGATTGTACATTCCATTCCAGTCCATTCTTCTCGAAACATGTAATGGGAATCTGTCTTTCCTCCCCCGCGTGGCCAAGACGAGTATTTTCGCTTGGCATTAATTATATGCAATCATTAACAATTGAGTCTGAATAATTTTGTTGTTGTTGTTTTTTATTTTTTTTTTTTGGATGGATGTTGATTACCCCCATGAAAGTAACTGCCTTTCAGGAAGCGTGCTTGCCTTTCTAAGCCCGGGGTTAAAACTCGTTACTGTTCTAGTTTCGTATATAGACCTATATAAAGCGAGCCTGATTCCAGCCTCGTTTTATTTCAACATTTTCCATGAAAGCAGAGACCTAAGCGTAGCAATAAAGTAATCACATTTCACATTCAAACAGATCAGAGTATTCTCTATAACGATTGAGTGGATTTTTCGTACCGAAGCATAGTTCGACAGTTGATTGAGATTTGAATTTTCGTTTAGTTTAGTTTTATAAGCTACCATTTCGTGAGTCACATAGAATACATCACTTACGATCGCAGATGACATCATCTATTCTGAATGTTAAAACAATCATTTAAACGACATGTGTGAAATGTTTTTAAAAAATGCTTAAATGCGGTCTCAGCGATTCAAAACGTTATAATTATGCCTTCACTGCTTTCGCTCAGACATGAAATGGATAAAAATCGGAGCTAGTGTCGACCCAGGGGGGAAACCACCATATGAAATTACGGGGATGGTCTTCGGAAGTTAGAATTAAATTCTCTTTAATAAAAAAGACCAATCTGGGTGCGGCTTATGCTGTCTTTCACCCCTAAAGTAAAAGAAAAGTATTTCCCCCTTTTAAATATAGATGTTTCCTGATGAAGTTCGGCAGAGAAATGAGATCTGTGATCAACATCTCACGAGCACGGGACAAAGAAAAAATCTGAATCCCCGACAGTAATTGAACCTATATGACCTACCGTACACTGGTCGGATGCTCTAACCACCGAGCTACGTTGGACTTGTGGCGAGCTGTGCCATATACAAGACTTATGTTTTACATGCGTCCTGCGTACTACTAGGATCAGCGATTTCGACGTGTACTAACACATTGTACATTGTATTCACAACCCTAACTGATACCTTAATGTACAAAAAATTTGGCTTTCCATCCTAAAAACCCTAAGATAGAGACCAGAATAAAAAATTTTCACCCCTAACGGCGAGACAACTAGCATCCCGTTGGTTCATACCAAACATAGGCAAGTTAAACGTGCATGAGCTATTTTGAATGCTTCAGTGTAACTTAAATGCTTCAGTGTAACCTTACCAAGAGTGAAGAATCTACCTTTTTCGTTCTAAATGTAGACTGGGTTTTTGTGCGAAATTGGGTATTGCCGTATATAAATGAAAACGGGAAACGCTCAGATGCGTCGATCCTCATGCTCTATATTCACTCTCCCATGCCTTTCCCTGTTACATTTGGTGCAAGTTAAACAGATTATTTATGTAAAATAAATATCTACTCTCCAAACGTTGATTAGAAGGAAAACTCTAAGGTTTTTTACTCGGAGTTTCTAAAGCCAAAATATGACTCACCGAATTCGAGTAGTTAAGAAATACCAGGATTCTTATCATTGTGGTAGATGGTTGCATCAACACAATTCACGAGGTTTTCACGTGCGATTCTACTCAGTAAAACAGTCCTTAACTCCAACAACTTATTTCTTCATGTTTTATAAGCTATTGCTTCTTAAAAGACAAGAGCCTTTTTTAAGACATTGGTTACAAAACGAAACAGGTCTTCATACGTTCAAGTTATGCACTTATCAATTGAAACCCCGACCCCCCCCCACCCCGGGCCTATGTGGGGCAATGTGGGGGATTGTTATGGTATTTGAAGGCATGGTTAGCCCGTGGGGGTGGGGGATTTCTCAGGATTTGCTTAGCATATTCATGGCAGTCCATGGAAGTCGGGGAGCGAGGTGGGGATTTGACTCGTGCCTAGTTTCCTCACGGTAATTTCTTCACGTGATCACTGGTATTTTGATGTATTGCTCGGCCGCCCGGGGGTACTGCCATATACGGGCTATATAGGTATGTGCTGCTGTGAAGGGTATGGTTTTCAGGCAGTTTACTCTAGGATAGGGTATGTAAATCAGAGCGTTTGGGTCTAGAATAGGGTATCATTTTTCAGGAAACTGATCAGTTGGTTGAAGATTTTATCTAGACAAGGGAAACAGCTACTCTAGGATAGGGGGATTTGGGGAGTTTACTCTAGTATAGGGTAGCAAAATTCAGCTGAACTAGCTCTGGTATAGGTTAAGGGTTCCAGAGTCCCAGCGGCACATCCCCACCCAGAAATTCCTAAAGTACCACCCCCGGGCTCGGCCGTAAGTTTCCTAATTGTTTTTCCTTTCATTTCTTCACTGAGACTAATCCTTTGCGATTTTGCCTTGAGCTTTCATGGTTCGTTGACTGGAAATTGTTATTGCTATTCAAAACTTCTCAAACAATGCAGATACAAACTCCTCTACTTATTATAAAAGATGCTGTGTCACGGCTATCTGGTTCATTTTGTTAATATTATTACGTGGTCCCTATTCGCTTTTGAGCGTTACGTTGGCAAAGAAATGAAGAAATGAAAGCTTCGTTTTAAACAGATGTTTCTCCCAAGCATATCAAGCGTTACGGACGAAAACAATGAACTTTGAAAAACTGTTAGGTTAACAAGTTTTCAAAAACCAAAATTTCAATCGGTTTTAATCTTCTTTATGTTTTCCCATCTGTACCTTCTTTTGTATTTGCTGAGTCATTTATACCATCTTTTGGCATCTTTTAATGTCTTAAGCGGTTATTTTTATGTTTCACTCAATTTGGTGGCAGTTCCCACAGCCTACATTTTGGTAAATTTCATGACACAGCTCGTTTAATGTCTAGTGTTATTAAACCCATGTGGTTTCTGAAGTTCTATATTTCCTCATTCTTTAAGTGAGTCGGGCTATAAAATATAGCTCCTAGGAACTATTTTATGCAGTCTATTTATAACGTCAGCTTGTGAAGGTTAAGGTATGTTGGCTGCTATTTTCAATTAAACTTATCATTGCGGATATTACTTTCAATGGAGATGGTACGGATTTCCTTTTACTTTATAGCAATGTGCTACTCCATCATCCATTTTGTACCCTGACTTTTTTATAAGTGGGTAGGGGTCATTATGTTTACTTATTGTCAAATATTTGTTGTATTTATATCTTGGTCTGTTATCATATTTGCCTTTTTGCGCTAGTAAATTTGTCAATATTAAGAAGTTGAAAATTCGAACGAAATATTAATAAAGTCAGTCAGGGAATTAAAAAGGTTTCCCCACCTGGGTGGGGGTTTTACCTGTCAATATGCCCCAGTAGGGTGGGAGTTTGCCAAGATTTGTAATGATGTCAAGTCAAATCCCCACCTTGGCCCGGGGTGGGGGGGATCGGGGTTTCAATTGATAAGTGCATTACTATTATTATTGTGAAAAGCCAATCTGCATGGGATGTACAGTCACACAACTGGCACGTGAAAGTGTTGGACTTTGCCCCCTTTCGTTGTTCGTACGTGAGGGAATTCGAGTTATCACACGGTAATCTAATAAACAGAATTATAAAAATAACTCATGCACACAATTTGCACGTGAAGATGTTGGTCTTTGGCCTTTTACAATTCGTACGTAAAAAAACGCAAATTGTTTACTACAAAATTTTCTCAACGATTTTAAGAAATCACCGCGGCTTCATTACAACATCTGCAATTAAATTATGTTTCATGCCATGTCAAGGTTGATAGCCTAACATTTATTAACTTCCAAGAAAATTATCAAACTGCCGAAATATATTTCTGCTCATATCATGTTACTCCACTCAATAAAACAGTGTCTAATAATTGTGTCAACTAGCTTCTTCCAATTGTATTCCCTAACGCTATTGTTTCTACTAAAGTTACTCATCTTTACTAAATAAAATACGTTTCAATAACTATAATGCTTAGTATGCAGGAAGGATGTATCATGTTGTTCACTTATTATTATTTTTTGGTTTTGCCGGAACGAAAAAAAAAGGTCTGTTGAACTTTGTAAGCGAGAGAATAATATTTTTAAAGCTTGTTTACAGAATAAACAATACTCGGTACAGCTTTAAAAAAAAGAAGCTGCCTTTCAAACTTATAAAACCACATTTTATAGGCCGCATACTTTCAAATTAAAGTCCATATCTAAATATCAATTATTGCTTCACTGGAAGAGCTTTGAAAATATATGATCTTTTATACTCTACCTCGGGTGAAACACAACTCATAAGGGAAAGTTCATTTAATATGACAAGGCGGGGGGGATGAAGATATTGAAACTCGAAGCTTGAAATTTTAGCAGCCCCCCCTCGCTAGCGGTTCAATTTTTAGGAGCCCCCCTCCTTGGTAGTCGAAAAAAATTTCAGAGCCCCCCTCCTCCTTCAATTCCTTTGCTCCCCTGAAAAAGATCGCTAGACTGTATTAAATATATTTACCGTTATTGTCTTCAATGGTTTATACTATGACAAACTTGAGATACAGTTGTGTTACAATTTTCTAAAGCATTTTTGGGATGAACAAGAGTGTAGTAATTACTGAGACTACATTTGTTATATCTGTAAACCACGTGATATAGCTGAGTTGCACAGGTCATTAAATTGTTGAGTTGAAAACCATCCGATCTGTATGATGATGTCATGTGTTGGTTTTGAAGTATACAAATTTTCGGAGCCCCCCCCTCTTAGCGCAACAATTTTTTCAAAGCCCCCCCTTCAGGTGTCTTAAAATTTTCGGAGCCCCCCCTCAATATCTTCATCCCCCCCCCATTGTCATATTAAATGAACTTTCCCTAAATACGTGCGTTGTACCGT